ACTTCAACCACCCTGACACCTGCTGGGAAAGTAGCACAGCAAGATGTAGGCAATCCAGGAGATTCCCGGAGCGAATGGCGGATACTGGATCTGATGCCCATAAACGTGACTGAGCTAATCAGTGACATCAAGATTGGAGGCAGCCTGGGTTGCACTGGTGGAGTTCAGAGTCCTGCAGGTCACAGGTCAGGTGAACGGTCAAGTCAGGACCCTGAATTTTAGGAAAGCAAACTTCCAGCTCTCCAAGGAGTTAGTCATTAGGACCCCCTGGGAAATTGCCCTCAGGGACAAGGGCGCAGAGTAGAGCTGACAGATTTTTATGGATGCTTTCCACAGAATGCAAGAACTCATGACCCCCAGGTGTAAGAAATCAGGCAAGGAGGGCAAGAGACTGGCATGGCTGAGTCAAGACCTGCTGGTCAAACTAAGGCAAGGGCAAGAAGGAAATGCACAGGCAATGACGGACACCCTGGGAAGACTACAAGGGCACTGCCCAGTTCTGTAGGGATGGGGTCAGGAAGGCGCAGATGGAGCTGAACTTGGCAAGGGACACAAAGACTAATAAGAAAGGCTTTTACAAGTATGTCAAACAGAAAAGGAACGTTAAAGAAAGCATGTCCCCCCGACGAACAAGACTGGCAAGCTGGTAACAACAGAAGAGGAGAAGGCTGAGGTTCTCAATCATTTCTTTGGCTCAGTCTTTACTGGCAAGCTCTCTTCCCACATCTCTCAAGTGGATGGACCTCAAAGCAGGGACTGGGGGAGCGAAGTAAGAGAAGATCAGGTTCATGACCACCTAAGGAACCTGAACATACAGAAGTCTATGGGACCTGATGAGATGCATCCCACAGTCCTGAGGGAACTGGCCAATGTAGTTGCCAAGCCACTCACCATGATATTTGAAAAGTCATGGCAGTCAGGGGAAGTCCCACATGACTGGAAGAAGGGAAACGTTACGCCCATTTTTAAAAAGGGTAGAAAGGAGGACCCTGGGAACTATCAACCTGTCAGGCTCACCTCTGTGCCTGGGAAGGTCATGGAGCAGATCCTCCTAGAAGCTCTGCTAGGGCACATGGAGGACAGAGAGATGATTCGGGACAGCCAGCATGGTTTCACCAAGGACAAGTCCTGCATGACCAAGCTAGTGGCCTTCTATGATGGAGCGGCTACATCAGTGGACAAGAGAAAGAGCTACAGATCTCTTCTACCTGGACTTCTGTAAGGCCTTTGACACGGCTCCCCACAACATCCTTTTCTCTAAGTTGGAGAGATATGGGTTTGATGGGTGGACTGTTAGCCGGGTGAGGAACTGGCTGGATGGTTGCATTCAGAGGGCAGTGGTCAATGGCTCGATGTCCAGATGGAGATCGGTGATGAGTGGTGTCCCTCAGGAGTCTGTACTGGGACCAGTGCTCTTTCATATCTTCATCAATGACATAGACAATGGGATCAAGAGCACTCTCAGCAAGTTTGCAGATGACACCAAGCTGAGTGCTGCAGTTGACATGCCTGAGGGATGGGATGCCATCCAAAGGGACCTGGGCAAGCTTGAGAAGTGGCCAGTGTGAACTTCATGAGGTTCAACAAGGCCAAGTGCAAGGTCCTGCACCTGGGCTGGAGCAATCCTCATGATCAATACAGGCTGGGGGATGAGGTGGTTGATGGCAGCCCTGCAGAGAAGGACTTGGGGATACTGGTGGATGAAAAGCTGGATATGAGCCAACAATGTGCACCTGTAGCCCAGAAGGCCAACCATATCTTGGGCTGCATCAAAAGAAGTGTGGCCAGCAGGTTGAGGGAGGTGATTATAAGAGAATTGTGCAAGTTTTTCTCCTATCTCAATCATTTTGGTAGACAAAATTAATATTTGCAATTGGTTCCTGTATTCCTGCATCATGGATATCCAGAGTAGGGCCATGAAAACGATCAGGGGGCTGGAGCACCTCTCCTATGAAGACAGGCTGAGAGAGTTGGGGTTGTTCAGCCTGGAGAAGAGAAGACTCTGGGGAGACCTTACAGTGGCCTTCTGGTACCTGAGGGGGGCCTACAGGAGAGCTGTTTACAAGGGCACATAGCGAAAGGACGAGGGGCAATGGTTTTAAGCTAGTAACGGGTAGATGTAGATTGGATATTAGGAAGAAGTTCTTTACCATAAGGGTGGTAAAGCACTGGAACAGTTTTCCCAGTGAGGCAGTGGAGGCCCCATCCGTGGAGACATTCAAGATCAGGCTTGGTGGGGCTTTAGGCAACCTGATCTAGCTAAAGATGTCCCTGCTCACCGCAGGGTGGTTGGACCTTTAGGAGTCCCTTCCAGCCCAGTGCATTCCATGATTCTGTGAAAATTTAAAGCATTTTGGGCAGTGAAAGTCTACCTGGGAGTATCTGACTAAGCAAAAAAGATGATTAGAGGACTGTGCCATGGTTAGTAGCTTCTTGGGGATCTCACAGCAGATGTAACATCCTTATTATGTCAAGAAGATCATAGCGTAGAGGCTCTGACCTCTGTATTTTGAGAAATTAAGGGGTGATTGCTGATATATTGCCACTACCGAAGTTTGGTGTCTAAATGAGACATGAACAGCCAGTATTTGGTTTTATTTGGAGGGAAGACAGAGGAGTAGATTCCTACCACTTGTTAGGTAGTTTCTGCACTCCAAATTACCTTCTGTTTATTTGTATTTTGAAAGTTGGAGAATATCTTCTGTGAACATCTTTCCTAAGCTTATTCTAGCACTTTACTATTATAATTATCTGTGAATAGAAAGCTGTAATTAGAGATGTTTGCCTAGTCTTGCCACATCTGATGGGCGTGAAGCCAAGGCACCTTTCTTTATGTTGTGATTCTCTGATCTTTCCAAGTGGGTATATATTTGGCTGTGCTTTTTTTGACTCGGTTCAGTAGGTTTTGCTGTTTACAAGAGAGAGGTATGAAAGTAATTATTTGATTTTGACTGCATTCTATAATTAATTGTAGTTCTGTTGTGTTTTGAGTTTAGTACGATCACATCAAGGTCTGTTCTGCCCTGAGTAAGTCTTTGTGGAGCTTGCCTCTGCCCTTCAGTGAAAGACTTAGAAGACAGTCCTAAGTCCATCTACAGATTTTCTAAGCTTTAAGTTAAGCTAAAATTTTTCAAGAATGCCTAACTGGCTTAGTTATGAATTGAAAAACAATATTACTGTAGAACCGAAGGACACAATGGACTTTTACTTCAAAGAAAACCTATGTTTGCTCTGCCTTTACCCTGTGATGGCTGAAAGCTCTGTAGCTGGAGTTAGCATAGCACTGAGTAGACCTACTTCACCTTACCTTCTACGCAGCCCAGAAAAAACAACCAGGGACAGACGACCTTTGGTGAATTCAGGGCAGACTCACTTTTATGTCTGTCTGAAAAATATTATTCAAGTTGCCCAGCTATGCTTAAAAATCAATTTACCCAAGGTTTACTCATAGCTTTACATTTTATTTAGGTATTTGACTACTTTTCTTCTATCGCTTACGTGAGAAACTGCTTTATTCCTAATATTAAAAAGGAAAAAGCAGAAAAACACTAATATATATATGTTTGTGGTTTTTATTTAAACAGCTCGTGATAGTGTTCTACAAGTCAGACATTTCTTGAACTTAGTTTTTCCTATTCTGGTATTAAATTTTATTAGAGAATCTAGTAAACCTACTATCCATTATAGAGTTTTGCTATGGGTAATAAGATGCTCAGTGAAGAATTAACAGATTTCTGTTCATTGATATTATCCTTTCTGTAACTCTTGTTTTACATCTAGCTCAGGGAAATCCTTTTCTCTCCTTCTGACTCACCCCTGCCCTCAAGCTGAATGAACAGTCTCCCTGACTATGCAGGTGCTTGGTGCCTTGGTGCTTTTTGTGTTAATTTTGCAAGGGCTTCCACCAGTGACAAATCACTGCAATGTCACACAAAGACTAAACCTTTTTGTTCTACAACCATTAACTTTTTTTTTTCTATGATTTCAAGATTCTGTAGGCACAGCGAGTTGAGTATCTGTTTCAGATAAACTTTTCTTTGTATGCAGGTATTGAGAGGTTAGTGTCGTGTGTGAGACTTGGACATTTTAATGTGTCATTATTTAAAAAATAGGAGTCAAGGTTGTTGTGTGTGATGTTCATATAGCACTTTCCTAGAGTATTTTTAAACCGTGTATGTAAATCAAGTATATGTAAATAGTATTTGCATTTGTTAAAAACAAGTTTGGAGAAAATACTGTTTATTTAATCAAGATATTTCATGTAACTGTATCCTCTCTTGCATCTTTTCTGTGGGGATATATTCATTTTATGTGTGGGGTAAAGTAAGTGTTTTACATTTTTTGTTTGCTTTATTTACAAAAAAAATAATATTAGGTGAATAAGACAAGCTTTTTTTTGCATATTTTTATGTAAAAAGTTTGAAGATATATTGACTTTAAAATAACTACTAATGCTATATGAAGGTGGCATCAAATGACCTGAAAACTTTTGCAGAGATCTAGAGCTTTATTTCTGATTTTATTTTCAATAGGAAAATTATTCTGAAATGCACATAAAGCTTTCTTCTCAGCCCTAGTCTGTGATTGCTCTTGAGATAAAGATCATGAAAAAATTGATACCCTTTGGCTTTATAAAGTACCTTAATGTATTTGGTAGAAACCACAGTGTCAAGCAGATGTATTTGATTGTAATCTACTGCTCAGAAATACTTGTACTGAAAGGGATGACACTGAAAGAAATTAGTAATATGATGATCACTGCAGTTGTTACATTATACGTTCATATATATCTGATGTTTAGTTTCCATAGACAAATACATTTTATGCTTTACTGTGAAAAATACAATATCAGTTTTTCCATATTTTAGATTAAATAAGATTATGAATCAGGTGGCCATTCAGCGGAAGAAGCAGTTTGTTGAACGAGTGCACAGTTACTGGTTGCTTAAAAGACTGTCTAGGAATGGTGTTCCTCTGTTGAGAAGGCTGCAGTCCAGTTTACAGTCACAAAGAAACACACAACAGGTATGTGACACTCTTTTTACTTACAAGAAGAAACCAGTAAAATCTCTATTTTATAGAGTAAAAAATTAACCAAGAA